ATCCGTGTTCTGTCATGTTGAAGATATGGAAGGAAGCTGCACTCCTGCTTACGAAAAACGTTTATGAAAAGGAATTGGGGAGAAAATCTTAGTACGTTGCCAACCTTTTACAGATGTGAGATCTGGATGGAAACAGCGACTACTCTGTGTCGGCCTTCCCGATTGCGTTGTGTTCGGTATTGAAAAGGATTTCGTCCTTTTGGTAAAAGAATTCTTTTCTTCATACAAGGAGAACGGTTCTTTTTCCACGGATAGAGTAAAGAGAGCATAGTAATACAAAATTATTTTTCACAAATCAAATGGACTATAATTTTTATCCACTATTTACTACTTTTATATACTATTTACTATTTATTAAATTTTAATAGTTATTTTAAACAAACTTAATAGGAATTTTAATGGGTCAAGAGAGCAAAAGGCAGTTGCCATATACTCCCTAACATCTGATTTAGTTACTTTAATTTCACTTTTGTATATATATATATATATTTTTGAACAAATTCGCATAAGGTTGGATTCGAGTCGTTGCCTTAAGGGTGATAGAATGCACTTATAGGTGACATGACGTCACCGAGCCCGAAGGCCCAAGTGCCACTTTTGTATATTTTTGATTTAATATATTTTGAATAATAAATGAATGTTAGTTAAAAAGATTTTCTTTTCACATTAAATTTTTATAAAGTGATTTCACTTTAGTAGAACTCTTTTCACATGTTATTTATTTGTTATATAAAACAATCAAGACATTATAGGTAAAAGTCAAATTAAATTATACGTGTATAAATTGCCTTTTTGACTCATATTTTTTTCTTTGGTCTGTTGCCGCCTCTCCCCCCCCCCCCCGGCAAAGGGTTTGGGAATGACTTCCTAGTTCCTCCAGACTAAGAAACCGTAAAGAAAGGCTAGTAGTAAGTTTAGAACTTTATGGCTCCTTTCTGGTCACCATCATTATTCTTTGACAATAAGTTTAGAACTTTATGGCTCCTTTTTGGTCACATCATTATTCTTTAACAATATGATAATATTACAATTATAACATTATATAAAATTATAAATTTATAATTATAATATATTATTAATTAAATAATTAACAAATATATAATATTATAAATATATCTTGAAATAAGTTATTAGTATTTTTTATAGTGTCTATTATAGTCCTTGTGGTCGAAAGAATCAAAGAAAGAGTAAAAGTGTAAAAAAAATGTCAATTTTATAATTTTTTATTTAAAAATATTAATTTTATTAATTTTTAAATAAAAATGTTAATTTTTAAAATTTTTTATTTAAATATAT